GGCCAAACAAGGTATAGTATCTCCTCAAAATAAGAGTAAGAATTGGAGGGGTTGGGACTCTGTTTGTAGAAGTGCATATTAACTCCAAGGAGCAGGAAAAATCCCTGGGGATGTACTGTAGTGTCCTTCTGGCAAGCAGATACTCCAAAATAAGTTGCCAAAGGAACAGCTGCTGGGGGTGCAGCTCCCTTGTGGGATGTGTCCCCTGCTCCATGCTGGGCAGAACCAGCATCCTGGTGTTTGGAATTCTCTGCCCCATGTGTTGGTGTTGCAGGGCTGTGGCATTCCGGTAACCACAGGGGTTATTTGGGTGGTCGCTGTGAGCCGTGGGGTGACACAACACAGTGATGTGTGGTTTTTTGGAGGATTTTACTGTGACCAGACCCATTGAGTTGAAAATCCTTAAAACCAGCACAGGTCTTTTGCAGCTGATGCAGAAGGTTTTGCTCAGGAGGGTGCTGAGGGGTGAGCCCTTGGCCCCTGCTGTCAGAGCGAGGCAGATTTATTGTGGCACAGCCATCCTTGAGTCAGCTCCACTGTTTGTACAACACAAATTACAGCCTGACTTATTTAAGGAAAATAAAACCCAAACCAACAACAAAAAGCCCAAATTGCTCTTTGTATGTGCCAAGCTAGAAACTTGAGCCATCCAGCTGCTGTTTTCCAAGGCACAAGGCCACGCCTGGGCCTCTCGCGGGGGCTGCAGAGCCTGTGCACAGGAACAGTGGGACCTGGTCAGCCTCTGGCCATGGCTGGGGGGTCACCCTGTGGGATATAGATCCCAGGGGTTCCCTGGTGTGTAATAAGGAATGAATTATTAACTGGATGCTTTCTTCTGGTTTACCTGGTGTGTATGTTTTGGTTTGTTTCGTTTTCTCTCCCCCTAGTTTCTGGTCGACGTGGTTAATCCCGATCTTCGGAGCACTGGTCTTAGGTTTAATGTATCGCTATTACATGGTGGATGGGAAAAGCTCCTGAGCTGGCCTTGCTGGGACCTCAGACAGCCTGAAAAGAGGGAGTGAGAGAGAGTCTGTGTGTGCAACACGCGGAGTTCTGCTGCCCTTAACCTGCCTGCCTGCCTTTTAGCTCTGAGTCTGTCAAGTGATGTTGATATCCATGGGACCAACCTAATTCCAAACTCTGTCCTAAATCTAGGACCCACAGACCTGTCGTACTTTCCTCTTGCAGTGGCAGGGAAAGAGGAACTTCCCGGTGTTCCCTGATGTTGGTGTGATCTCCCTTGTGCACTCTCTCTCTCTCTCTCGCTCTCTGACGTAACCCCCAGACAACCTTTTTCTCTCAATGCCTTTTCGTTAAGCCAGACACCGTGAAAGAGCTGCCCTGGGCCTGTGGCTCTGCCTCAGCCCTTCACCCAGTCAGCAATCATCTGCCAGTTGTCTCCAGCCCTTGCCAGGAAAGATGTCCGGAGCTTTGGTTCCGTGGGAAGGTTCCCAGTGTGTGCAGGCAACACTAACTGGAGCAGCAGGGAATTGTTTGCTTGGCCACCTCTTTCTGTATGTGTCTGTTTTTAACGGTTAAACAAATATATGGATTTTAAAAGTGATTCTGTTCATTTTGTCCCTTTGGAATGTATATCCTGTGAACAGCTTACATTGAATCCTCGTTGGTTTTGGCGCTTTTGTGCTGTGTGTGGCAGAACCAGGAATGGGAACTGACATGTGGCTTCTGGAAATGCAGATTCTTCTTTCTCCCTGAGGTCTTGATCTGACACATGTACTGGAAAGAAAAATCCTTCTTACGTACTGTGAATGTGCACCAGATGGGGGGAAACAAATAAATCTGGTCTCTTCTCCTGAAATGAAAAGGGAAAAGCTACGCATTTGGGATTTGTGGATAATGTTGGTTTTGTCTCAGGACAGAGGAGGATATTTCCCTCTTCCCCTGATTTCATGTGTTGTGCAGTTGTCCTCGCAGCACAGACAACGCAGGTTTGCTTCCTGTGCTGGGGTGGGAATCTTTCCAGCTCCTCCAGCACATTGGTCTCTGCCTTTGGGATCTGCTAAACAAACTGGTATCCTGGTGCCTGCTGCCCTTTGGCAGGGCTGTGCCAGTGACAGTGCCTCCCAATCCAAACCTTCAACTCAGCTAGTCATCTGGAATTCTCTCAAAAAGGGCAGCAATACATCAGGTCCTGCTGTTAAAACCTCCTGTGAGTTGTGGGTTTTCTTCTCTCTTGCATGAAACTACTGTGTTCCCCAGAAGGTCATGTAGAAGAAATTCTTGGATGTGGAATTACGTTCTGCTTTTTAAAATGAAGGCCAAGGAACTAGGAGTGAGAGCCCTGCCGGGGCTGCCTCATGTCCCCTCCTCCCTCCATGGGTGTGGGCCTGGCACCACAGCAGCATCCCGGGTTTTGGCACTCCTGGTTTTACCAGGTGCAGAAGTCCCCATAGAGGTCTGTCTTCCCACAGGATTTTTTTCACTCCCACTGACGGTTTTGTCTCTTACAGGGAATTTCCAGGGAAACCTGGAGTTCCCAGAAGAAGGAGCTCTTGGATATCTCCTGCAGCTCCAGCTGTCCCTGCTCCTGCCTGGCTGCTTTGGGGGTTGAGTTTCTGTTTATTCTCTCCTGACATGAGTGTGGCAGAAGAGTGTAAATCTGAGCCAAGGAAAATCCCTGAGGAATTTCTGATTAGCTGCATTTTACAGGATAGAGATGCCAGGCCACACAGCCGTAGGTTAACATCGGTCTTAAAACAGATCAGGCACTGTAAGGGTGTGGAAAATAGATCGTATCAAACTTTATCAGAGGCTTTTTGATCTTGAGGACAGTGGTCCTACAAAGGCCACTGGTTAAAGCCCGAGCAGTTCAAACTGGGAAGAGGTGCTTTCTCGTGTTAATCACAAAATCATGATCCATGAACACAAGTTGGGGGGGATTTAGAGTGGGTTCTGTATCAGGGGAAGGTTTTGAAGCTGGAAGGCACATGTTGGCCAAAGCATCACCCTGCTGAGTCGGAGTCACTCAAGGCGGTGTAGGGCTTCACAATGGTCAGCTGGTTGGATCCAGGACTGTTGGGTTTGCCTGAGGAACAGGGATGGTGTGATGGTGCAAACGTGTCTGTTTTCTCCATAGGCATCACTTTTACCTGGATTTTGATTTTTATTTTTTTAATACCGTTTTCCTGGCACTCTCTACTTTTAGTTCCATTTTGGCTGCTCTAAATAACTTCTTGCCATCATCATTCCCTCTGCTCCTGAGGAAGCTGCCTGTCAATCCCATATGTTATGGAGCCACTTTTTCCTTTTAATGGATTAAGTGCCCGGGGGAGACCCTCAGTCTTGTTCCAGTGCATCCTAGGAGCTGGTAGGATCCTTGTCCCCTGCCTTGTGGAACCCCAAGTAGTCTCTGCTGGCTCCTCAAAGACCTCAAGGTGCTCGAGATGCATTTACAGAAGCCACATCAAAGTCTTCCCACTTCTCCATTAATGACAGAGGGTGGATTGTCTGGGATGGAGGGGGGCTGGTGTGAGCCCGGTGTCCTGGTGAACACTCCTCATTCCATTCTTCTGGCTGGCTCAAGGAGGGTCCCACAGGTGTGAAACCGCTCAGACAACAACGGAGGCATTAACAAAGCTTGTTTACTTGTTTTGTTTAAGGATTAAAGCAGACAATTCCAAAGCTCTGTCCTTACGCTGACCCCGCACAGCCCATGTTTGCTGGCAGGTTCCCGCACAATGCCGGTGCTGGCTCGGCTTCCACCCCACAGAAACCTCTGGGGGTGAAATCCAAGCTGGGTCGTGCTTTGCTTCCTTCAGGTGCTGCAGAGGAGAACTTGAGTGAAGAGCTGGAAACATGAGCCTGGAGGCAGGTCCCACGGTTAATGTGAGCGTGGTGGGGCTGCCCGGTAGCACCAGCAGAGCTGTGCTGGCCTCTTCCCCTCTGCACCACCCCAGATGCCTTGACAAAGCAGAATGTAACTGTTAATTGGGCTCATGGTTTGTTGAAGGAGCGCTGGGAGGTCTGAGGGTGTTCCTGGGGGCTGTGATGCTTTGTTCTGAGACAGGAGCACCCACAAAAATGCCATTTCTTGTACCTGGAGATTGTGTGCCCAGCAAGAGGTGCCGGGCTGCGTTTGCTGTGCTCAATAAAGGTGTACAACAACCAGGTGCAGGATTCTGTCTTCCAACAGGCGCAGAACATTTGGTTTCTCCATCGCTGTTGCCCTGTGGTGTGTAACCCTCGTGTTACAAGGCTTGGATGTCCAGTGTTTGTAGGCTCTGGTGGACACAGGATTTGCCAGGAGTTGGTGCTGAGCCTGTGCCAAGGATGGTCTGCAGCATGTGGGGCTGAGCCACATGGTGGTCCCTGCAGGGTGTTGGGGAAGCGTCAGTTTGGGGCTAAGCACTGTGCAAGTCACACATCAGTTCCTGATTCCGTACAATATTCCATGCTGTACTTACAATGGGAGTTTTAACAACCACAGCAGGGCAGCTGTGAGGGCTCCTTGCTTAATCCTGATAATCCCAATCTTAGGAAGTGCCATGAGCAAATGGCAGAGTGGCCATGGGTGCAGGTTTTGCCCAGGAAGAAGCCACGTGGTGTGTGATGGTGGCACCATCACCTTGTGCCCCCAGAGCATAGCCACACTCTGGCAGCGCTCCGGGGACTCCCACACTGACGCCTCTGCAAGAGCAGCACGTAGGAGGGTTGTTTTCCATGGATAGATGACATAGAGACCATGGAATATGTCTCTTATTTACACGTCTGCTTATAGAAGAATGTAACATCCTGCTTCTGTGACTGTCAGCAGAATCTGGCTCTTAAACTTGCCTAATTATGGATGTCACAGTGGCTGCTGCAGCCTCAGGGAAATGGTACCTGGTCAGAGCATCCCAGGAAGGAGCAGGAGATCAGCAAGGTGCTGACACGGGAAAAGGGCATGGAAAAGTCAGTGGGAACTGTCTGCTGTGGTCCTGGATTTCAGCTGAAATATGTAGGGAAAATGTGGGGAAAAAGGGCATGAACTGAGTGGGAAGTAGAGATTTTGAGGAGGAGGGTTGGAAATTGTGTTCTTGCCAAGTACTGTCTCACTGTAAACTTTATTTATCTTTGATTTAGAGGAATTGGATCCAAAATTCACAGAAATAAACAGAAGATTTCGGAACTCTTTTTAAATCTGCCTCCAAGTTCTGCAGGGTCAGTACCGAGTGCAGGGTCACTTCTCTGAGCACTGAGGAGGATTTGCAGGGTGTCTGGGACAGAAATGGTAAAATTAGGGGGCAACAGGCCCCAGAAGAGTCCTGGCACAGCCAACTCATGTTTGCATATCACAGCTGCCACTCTCAGACAGGGATTCTGCAGGGGCTTTTTTCCCGGGATTGAATGGGAAGACCCCTTTCTTTGATGGGTTTTATGTGTCCCCTTTATTTTTAAAACCCTCACGAACCAGGCAAATATTCATGACATGGGCAAGTCCCGTGCACCAGCTCCTGGTCCTACAGCTGGACCTTGCCCAGCATCAGGTGTCCTGTTCCCTGTCCCCAGCATGAGGATGGAGAGGGGAGGGACGGTGTCTCCTGCCAGCAGTAACTGCCCTGGGCAACCTGATGGCCCCGGCAGCTCCATCATGAGGTGAAGCCGAGGCCAATGCTGGTGTCACACCCCGGTGTCACACGCTGGTGTCACACGCCAGTGTCACACGCACCCTGTTGTCTCTTCTCCAGGGGCACCGCCAACAGAAATTACTATAAAACAAGTTTCCTGCCAACCTCGGCAGCTCTAATGAGTCAGGAAGTCGTAATCTTGGAATATGGGAACTGTTGACAGAGCCTAATTATTTTCTGACAGTCTTTCTAACACCATTGGAAAATAAAACACCTACGTAGGCTCCGGAATCGCAGACGGAGTGAGCAATATTCCACAGGCACCTGCTAATTTGTCCCCACGATCCTGGTTTAGGCTCCTTCCCCCTCACATTTGCTGCTCTATGGCTGCTCCTGCAGGGAGAGGAACTTTGTGATCAATGACACAGAACCACTGCTGCTGCTCCTACGGCTTTTCCACATGCTGGGCCTCACATGAGGAGTTTATGGCTCTGACTGGATCCCAGAAAACCTTGTATCTGTGCCTTGCTGTCCTGTCTCTGTGTGGTTATTCCCCCCCAGTCCCACTGCTCCGTGCTGATCCTTGGACTAGTTGTATTTAGTCATTAAAATTCTAATTGTCCAGGACTGCCCTTTTCTCCCCCAAACCAGATTATTGATTCTTTCTTCAAATTTGGCCTTTGCCCATTGCCTCCCTCTCTCGGAGTGCTGGGAGCACCCGGACCTGTCCCCTTTCCATGTCACCCCCAGCCTCCCTCCTTTCCAGCTGTTATCAGAGCTGCGCTTTGAAAGTTCACCCCAGGCTGGGTGAGCATAGGCAGGATTGCACATCCAGGCTGCTCCTGCAGCACTCCACAGAGCACCAGGACTCCTTTTTTTTCCTCCACTTTTACTCCCACTCCGTGTTGTCATTTTTGCTCTCCCACCTCTGCCCTTCCTGGGACTCTGCAAAGCTCTTCACAGCCAAACACCCTCCAGGAGCAGTCGAGGAGCTGGTGCTGCTGTGCCATTCACAGCTGGTGCTGCTGTGCCATTCCTGTGCTCCTCTAAGGCACCTGCTCCATCCCTGATTGCTCTACATCTCATCACTCCCTTTCAGGACTAAGATCTGTTTTCCTTCCCCCCCACAGCCCATCTGTTGGTGGCACCTTCTCTGTGAGCCTCTGTCTCCCTCATCACTCAGACAGGAGGTGAATATAGCACAGTCTTGCATAGTTTTCCCTGGAGGCTTCCCAAATGGTTTGGGTTTGTAGTGCTGGTGTAAGAGTAGCTCTCTCTTCTCTCACAGGACAGACATTCTTCCCTTGCTATCCCTGCGTGGCACAGGTGAATCCCCCTCCCTCCAGGAGCTGGCAGGCAGGAGATTGCCAAAGGGGGAAGCCTTTCCCTGCAGCTATCCTGAGTATGACTGCTCCACAAAGAGCTGGAGAGAGACTTTGGACAAGGGCCTGGAGCGACAGGACAAGGGCAATGGCTTCCCACTGCCAGAGGGCAGGGTTAGATGGGATATTGGGAAGAAATCCTTCCCCGTGAGGGTGGTGAGGCCCTGGCACAGGTTGCCCAGAGAAGCTGTGGCTGCCCCATCCCTGGACGTTTTGCTGAGGGACGCAGTGATCACAGCAAACCCCTCTGGAAGATTTTTAACTTGGGATGACACTCATGCCTGGCTTGAAGCAAGTAAACAATGTAAGGGTGAGCAATGCTGAACTCCCCATAACAGCAGCAGAACTGGGTGTGCCATAACGAGTGTTCCTGCGGAACAGGTTGGCTACATCCCAGTTGTGACTGCCCAGGGAAGGGTCCTGGAGAGCTCCGTGGCTTACCTTGGGCAGGTGCTCTCTGGGTGCACTGGCGGATGGACAAGGCTGAAATCTGAAGATGTGCTCACACTCCATGGCCTCTCACCACGGGTGAAGTCAAGCGGAGGAGAGGAAAAGCCAGGACAGCTCTGGGATTAAAGCAGCTCATCTGGGATGAAAGAGAAACTGACTTCAAATGCCACTGACCACACGCCACACAGATGCCCCCGCTCTGCCAGGGCTGTGGAACCAGGAACACTGCACGCCTCCCACCCTGACCCCACGGGCACTGTCCAGGCACCCTGCAGGTGGGGAGCACAGTGGAAAAGAGCTCCAGGAACGAGCACGGTGGTGTCACAGGAGCACAATGGGATGAAGCTGCAGGAACCAGCACAGCAGTGTCAAAGCACGGCAGTGTGAACAGGCACCTGGTGAAGGCACTGGGGTGTTGGTCCCATGGTATCCAACCGGCTGCCAGGGCACGGGGCTTGAGGGCTGGTCACTGGCTTTTGGGCTACAGCAAGTTTATGGAAGCTGCCAAGTGGTTTTGGAGGAAGATTTTGCCGGAATCTGAGAGTGGACTGGCACAGGAGCTGGCAGTGGGAAGGACGGGAGCCAACCTTTTGGTGCCACAGGGAAACCGGAGCCCGTGCGGCACCAGAGGCATGCGGCAGCTGTTCACAGCTCCTTCCTCCTCCATTTTTCACAGCTTAAGCACTCTCCTGGCACCTCCATCCACTCACACACAACCCCTCTTGCTTCCTCATCCCTTCCCCACTTCCAAAGCAGATTTTGGACACTTTGGATAAGTAATTGGACACCTTTTCTTACCTCCTCCCCCTTCTTACACCTTGTCAGGGAAAGGGGCTCTCAAACCCACTCACGAGAACTTCTCAGTGCTTGTGTCCTCCCCATTCCCCTCATCGGGGGCACTCATTTCTTAAGGCATTTGCCATGTCTGTGTCAATGATAACGCACTACTGACACTCCTTTGGCGTTTCCATGTTGTTTATTTGGAAATAGCCCGTTATTTTGGACAATGTTCACCAGTGGATGTGATGACAGTTCTGCCGCGTGGGTTTCCATGGCAGAGCCTTGAAGGGGGACGGAGCCGGCCCTGACCCGCGGGGGGCCGTCAAACCCCAGCCCCGGACCAGCCGGTTCTGGCACAGCCCTGGCCACCAGAGTTGGGGGCAACCGGTGCTGCCGCCCTCCCCCCGGGGGCCTCCGTGATCCTGGGGCCTCCCTGAGGGGCCATCTCTGCTCCCCTCACCGCGGGACCCCCATCCCAGCTCCTCTCACTCCTCCCCTGTGGGTCCATGCCGGCTTCCTCACCCCGGGGTCTCCCTGGGGGACCATCCTCACTCCCCCCATTGCCGAGGGTTCCCTTCAGGGACCACCCCAGCTCCCCTCACCGCGGAGGGCTCCTGGGACGAACTTCCCTCATCCTGGAGGTCTCCCAGGATGGACCATCGAGGGGGCTCCCCTGGGGGCTCCCTGTGAAGGGCCGTCCCGCTTCCCCTGATGCCAAAGGGCTCCCCCGAGGACTCCCCTCACCTCGGGGTTCTCCCCAGACAGGCAGTTCCCCCTCCCCATTCCAGACTCTCCCCCCACCATTGCGCACGCGCGGCCGTTCCGCCCCCGCCGCTCCCCCCGCTCCCCGCCCTCCCCCCGCGCACGCGCGAAGCGGCCGCGCCGCCGCCGTTCCCCCGCCGGCCCCTCCCGTGCCCCGCGCATGCGCAGCGGGCTCGGAGCGGCGTCGGGCGCGCTCCGCTCACACCGGCCCCGCGCGCGCCGCCCGCTCCCGCCGCCCCGGCCCGACCTCCCGCCCGGGCCCCGAGCGCAGCCCTCCGAGCGCGGCCCCGCCGCCTCCCGCCCGCCTGTCGGCTCCGCTCCGCACCGCACCGCGGCGGAGGCAGCCGCGCCCCCCGGCCCGGCCCCCCCTCCTCCCGCCGCCCCCTCGCCCCTGCCGGGCCGCGGAGCTGCGATGCCCTCGGACTTCATTTCTCTGCTCAGCGCCGACCTCGACCTCGAGTCCCCCAAGTCGCTCTACTCCAAGGGTGAGTGTTCGCGGGGGGGCCCGCGCCGGTACCGCCGCTCCCGCCGGGCCCGCGCCCCGGGCCGCCCCGGGCCCCGCGGGGCATCGCCCGCCCGTCGCCCCCGCCCCGGGATGCGCGGCCGGAGGGGCCCCGGGGCCGCGCGGGGCCGCCCCGGCTCCCCCGGCTCCCCCGGCCGCATTCCTGGCCCGGCCGCGGCTGCCGCAAGAATGTGTCCGGACAGGTTCCGGCCGCGGGGCCGGCGGCGGGGGGCTCGACCTCGGGGTCCCGCCCGGGCCCCCCCGGCGCTGCCCCGACCCACGGGACGGGCACCCTTCGGCCTGGAGCGGCGGCTAACGGAGAGCGCCGGCCGGGCCCTCCAGAGCCGCTCGTTTAAGTCTCCCGGGAACGGGGCTCGGTGGAACCGGGGAGCTCGGAGGTTTGGGGTGGAACTCCCTGGGTTGGGGTAAAACCAGGCACAGAGCCCGGCGTGGGGAGGGCGCGGGGTGACGGTACCGGGGGCTCGGAGCATCTCCGCGCGTTATCCCCGGGCACCGGGGAGCAGGAGGTAAAGCGGCATCGGCTCTGGGGAGTCGGACTCGGAGGGGTTGGAGGGCCCTTAAGAGTAAATTAAATTAACACCTGCTTTTATAATATCCGAATTTGAGCTCTGACAAGTGCACGAGAACACGGATGAGTACATCAGGACAAGGGTTATATACCACACGAGTTTTTAACTCGTTTTCTACTATTTAAAAGACCTGAAAGTCACTACTAGTGGTTTGTGGTACTCGTAGTGTCTACTAGTAGTTTAATAGTAGTTTCTTGAACACATCTGCCCACAGTACAGCTGGTGGGGGAAGCAAGTTTGGGCCTCTACAACTGAAAAAATTGAAAGTCCCTTATTACCCTAAAGTGAAAGTTTAAATCAGTTTAGTGTTGTTACGAGGAAAATGAAACTTTTTTAGGATCTTTGGAACTAGCTGTAGTGTGGTCTTTAGCTCTGAGTTGTGTGTTGTTAGAGGTGAAGGTAAAAGAAAGAAAGACTTCAATGGATCAAAGCATATCTTGGAAGCTCTCAAACTGCTCAGAGTCATCTCACTGTTTAATTGATATCACCAATACCTTGTAAGCTTTCTTTAGGATGTTACTAGAGGGGTTCAAGGTTTTCCAGTTACCCAACACGATGTATTGCAGTTGGTTTAAATCCTAGTGAGGGTAATAGGAGAATATTTTGAAACAAGGTAGTTCAATTAAAAATACAGGTGATAAACCCCATCAAAGTTATCCTACAGGAAATTTGGGAAGTGCGCACCATTAATTTGGAGCACATTGAAAATAAAAACATTCTGTGTAAGCCACAAAATTTCTTCAAGGACTCGTGAATTGAGCAGAAATTTTGAACTGCCCAATCTTACTGTGAATTCTTGGGGGTTTTTTGTATTTAATGGAATAGTTGAATGTTTCAGGTAGGAAGAGGTCTCAAACTGATTAATCAAGTGTGTATTTTTTTTCCGGTGCGTGGCTGTGGGTTCAGAGGTGGAGGAGGTCAAGGGAAGGATGTTGTGGCTGAACTGAGCTGCTTGATCCAAGCAAGCAACCCTGACAGCGGTGTATAAATCAGAGAATGGTTACAAAGAGGTTAAAGCAAGGTTTGCTTTTTGTATTTTGTCATAATAAAAGATCAGGGAGGTGATAAGTTGGAAAGCACTTTAAACTTTAGAGCTAATGATTACACTTTTTGAGAATGGATAATGAAGCAATCGTGAGGTATATTGGTATGATTTCAGCTGGATCTAGGAAAAGGTGTTGGTGGTTCTCTGACTGATCAGAACACATTTCAGTGGGTCTTTTTTCTTCCTAGATAGATATGGATAAACTCACCCTGTGGACAAGTGCTCTGGCTCAGGGTACGAGTACAACTGATGAGATAAAGGGAAAGGTCTGAACACAGCGAGAGAACCACAACTATGCATTTATGATGAGGGTGTGTTAGAGCGAGTAGTTTCTCATAACTGCTCTGCTTTTAGCAGTGCAGGCGCCCGGGGGTGAGTCCAGCCCCAGGTTGAACTGGGGCCAGTGCCTTTTCCTCTGGATCGGCATTCCTATGCCCTGGGGTTGGTTGTGGTTGGCGATAGGAGCCCTGAGAGTCATCAGGGACGGTCCTGGGATGTTTTGGGAGCGCAGAGATGATGAGAGAGGCTGAGGTTGGGGTGGTCTGGGGAGTTTACAGGGGTTTCTGACACAGGAACTTCAGTTTATTGTAGTTAAAGTGGCAGAGTCTGCATGCACTGATTAAAAAAAGCAAGGTTACATTTGGAAAGCCAGTGAATGGAGTTTTTTGTAGTGCAGTTTTTTTATGGTATATTTTGTCCCGCTCTCTGGACAGGCTGGGTTACGTCATCAGCCTGTCCCTGTGCCATGCGTTAAAGTTTTGGCTTCCATGACTATCTCAGTTAAGATTTTTGTTTTCATATTCGTTAAAAAGCATTAAGCAAAACTCTAAAAGCTCCCATACCTCAGGTGAAACAGCGATGTGAGTCCTTAATTTGAACTCTGATCTGCTAACTCGTTGAGTCATTTCATTTATGCGTAGCTTGAGAAAGGGAATATTTTGGGTATCTAAATACTTTATCTTGCATCCTCGTGGATGTTCCAGGAGCAGTTCCAGGCAGAATGAATTCCCACGTGCACAGTTCGAGCGGTTGCGTCCCCCGTCCTTTCCTTGTGGCTCCGCTCATGCCAACACTGACGCTCACCAACAGTGAGCTGGACTGGGGAGCTGATCATGTTAAAATTAACTCAGCTTCTCCCTTATTCCTTCCCAAGGGAGAAGGGGAGGAGGAATGCTGATTTTTAACTGGGTTTGCCGTGGGTCTTCATGAAGGGCTTGTGCTGACTCAAGGAAGGGACATGTGGCAACTGGCTGTGAGGAAGGGTGGGACTGGTTCTTTCAGCAGCTTATATTGGCTTAAAGTGATGGTGAAACTGTTCTTAACTTGCAGGCCTCTGGAACAGGATTTATAAATGTTTTATATATTGATTATAGCTGTTAAAAATGAAAGAAATGGGAAGTGTGGATTCCAAGGCCTGTTGCTGGAGCTCATCCCATAGCTCCCGAGGA